ACATAACATTAGACTCCAGAGTTACATATGTAGCAGCATCCCTCCCTTTCCTCCCCTGTTCTTTGGGATACGTTCTGCTTGGTAAACCATCTGTTTCTAAATTGAAAAGCTCGAAATGCACAGCGAGGCAAGAGCAAACATTACGAAAAACACGCTGTTTGTTGATCTTCGCATTTTGCTTTGCAAACAAGTGTTCAGCACCCAGGCTTAGATCACTGATCCATGCCGGCTGCTGTCGTGCCTCCAGTCACGAGCAATTTCTTTTCCTAATGAAGTGGCTGATGTATTGCACAATATTACATCTGACAAATACCTTATTTTCCAATTGACAACATTTCCTTCGTGCGTATCATGCCTGACTGTTTAGCCTTGGATTAAATTCTGCATGACTCCAGTTTATTTCTCACTGACGTCGAAGCACAATATTATTGTTACTGAGAGAAGAGACAGTTGAAATGAAAGAAATAAAGCATGTCAGCAAGAGAAAAATGAACTTATAACTGTAGTTGTAAGGTAGCTGTTCAGTCAGGATTCAAACTGGCCAACAACTTCATCCCTGCTCTATTTGCCCAATATGTGCTCAACTTAAATCCTTCCAAGTCTCCTTAAAGAGACTTCAAAAGTGGTTCACTTTAAATGCAGAAACAAGTGGTTTGCAGAATACAGAAGTCCTAGTGAAAGGCAGCATGTGAGACTGAGCTGATGATATGTGCTTCTGCCCATCCTAGATCCACCTGAAGTGGTTTTAGGAGACAACTTTATAATGCTCTCTCTACTGCAGAGGCTCAGCCTCTGATTTCTGGGATTCTGTGAGAAAGATGATTCCTAAGACTTAACTAATGTCAGTTCAATGGGCTTGCATTGCTGAGGAGTCCTTAAATAGTTTGCTTTCACCCCAGAAACCTCGTTGGTGCACTGGGAGAGAACACTGTTCTCTCTAGGTAGAAGCTCAGCAGACATGGACCGAACTGCTGTAGACCTGAGAGCTCTCTTGAAGTTGCCAAAAAGAAGAAAGTTTTCTTATGGATCATGATTTAGTTTTACCTGTTCACTCATTTCTTAATGAAAACATGGAAACTCATTTTCTCTCTGGTTCATCCTGCACCCACCCTGTTCAGAAGAGATGTCCATGCACAGTTCCATCTGACATGGTCAGTGCAACCTTGCAGTTTCTGAGGGCAATGGCACAAGAGACAGCAGTGATTTCTCTCTGCTGCTGAACTCATGGGCTTCAGACAAGAAAGGCAGAGAAATGAGGAGCCCCTTCCTCACTTCTTTCCTTTGGCCCAGTTTCATACCACACAACTGCAGGCTTTTGCACGAGATGTCTAAGATAGGAACCTCGTCAGCCTGTATTCCTTGTATGGTCAAAGAAGAGAGAGAAGCTCTTCCAGGGGGTGATTTGGATCTTAATTTGACTGTATGATTGTCCCTGTTGCCTGTCCTGGAGCTTAGACTCCCTAATTAGGTATCAAGCTTGTTAATACCTAATTTTTGTTTGTCTATGAAATTTTTTCACCTCTCTGTGTCTGTTTCTCAGGGGAGCATGTGGTGCTCTCATAAAGTCATACCTGCTTGCCCCACACAGCAGACACGGAAACTTGATCCTAACTTCAAGTCCCACCTATTCTTAGTACTCATTCACCAGTAGCACCTACAAAAGTTGTCTTAGCTGATGACTTTCAGACAGATACTGGCAAAAAAAATAAAAGTGCAGCAACCACAGGCATAGCTCTACCACTGCTCTTTGGAAATTTAAGAAGTGGGAGTCCAAAATTACCACCAGATGGTGTACCTATTTAGCAAGTGACAGAGACATGTTCCACAAGAAAGGGTAGCCACAGCCTCCACCAACCCATCAAGTAGCTTCCCCTGCTGTTTATTCTCAGCTGTGATAGAAATTGAATGTGTTTGAAACATGGACCTGCTGGCCATACTATCCTGTTACATTTAATATGGAATATGTTTCCAATCTTCGTGATGGAAGCCTTTCAACTGCCTGGTTAGGGCCGTGGGGAAGTGGGAAAGAGCATAGCAGACCTATGAGTGCATGTAAAGGGAGAAGGGAAGAAAAAGAAGTGGGCCAGGAGCAGCAGAAGCTGGGCCTGGTGAAGGGCAGGGAGCAGAGCCCAAAGCAGGAGTGGGAGCACAGAGCACCCGAGCTGGGCTGGGTCAGTCCTGGCTGCCAGGGCAGGTACCTGCCAGTGCCTTTGGGAAGGATGGTCTCGGGGTCTAAGGCAGTAGTTTGGGAACCTGCCAATGCCAGTGGCCCAGACAAGAACACAGAGGGTATTTATTAACTGTGTGGCAAAGGTGGTGAACTTTCCTAAGCAGTTCAGTGGGTTTTACTCTCTGACTGCTTCTCATTCCTGAGCACCTGGGACACCCCATACTCAGAGAAGGATTAGCACACCTCAATAACCATATATTTTCTGCCATATTTCTAGCAATGTCACAAGACCATGTGATTCTTTCAACTAGATTTGCTGGACATCAATATATTACCATGTGTAGAACATGAGAAGTTATCTATTCCCATTCAACTCTACTTCTTGCTTTAAAGAAAATTCTAAAGTAACAACTAGGTTCCTGGTAATCCTCCTTTATGAAACTGGTGCAGAAGAAAATATTGTGAGTCCCTCATTCCTTTGTATAGATGTGTCTTTTACTGCTTTCTATTGCTTTGGTGTGTTTTAAATGATGCCATAAATAGAATTAGGATATTGACAGAATTATTAAATAGAAAGATTGTTCTTTTAATTACAACTTGACCACTAAAGAAAGGTCTGAACTGAAAACTCCTCTGAGCAAAAAGGGTAAAGATTTGAACATTCTTTAACCTGAGAAGTATTAATGAAGAATGGATAAAATAGTTTTCCATTCTCTTTGTCCCAGCTGAGAGGAAGGTGTCACACCAAGAAGCTCATTACCATTCCCTTCCTTTTTCACATACCTTGTGGCTCCCAGTTCAGTGTGAGAACCATCATTTTATGGTTAAAGCATGGACAGGACATAATGGACTTGACTCTGTTCCCAGCTGTGCCTTTTCTTGTGACCTTGGGCATGTCACCTCCTACCTCGCTGTCTGGAAACTAAAGATGACTAATTTCAGTGAGGAATTGCAAGGTTTAATTAGTGAGGACCAGCCTCCATTTCAACATTTGGGACATATCCTCAAACAAAAATGGTTGCTATGAAGTCTTCCTATCCAAAGAGAAGGCAAAGGACAGAAATGTTGTGGGGGGATTGGGTCTTCTAGAAAGTGAGTCCTGGCCTGAAAAAAGACCACACTGAAAAACCTCAGTCGAGACGCCTGGTGGGATTATTAGCTTCGTTTGCATAAGAAGAAAGTTTGGAAACCTTAGCTAATTGTCCACAAAGAGCCTGAACTCAAATTTCACAAAGAGAAAATACTCAACTAATGCTCAGTACTTACATGGAACATCAGGAAGAGAATAAAGCCCACTGGGAGTGAGTGCTTATTACTTACTGTATGTGCTTGATTCTCTCAGTAGATCTTCCTGTCTGAGACCCTCTTTTTGCAGCTGCTGGTGCACAGTGACATCCTGACACCAGCGATGGGGCATTAACACCTTTTCCCACTTTCCCTTTCCCTTTCTCCTTGCTGTCTCCGTTTTCTCTCACTTCAGCAGTTCAGTAATGCTGAAACCAAGTTCCCTTCCCTTTTGTTTGCTTTTCCCTTTCCCATCGATGAAGCATGTTGCTTTATTACAGACACTGTAGTTTTAACTGCAGTATAAACAGAAGCTCTGAGCAGGAGAGTCAGCTGGGATTTCCCTGCCCTCTTACACAACCCAAGGTTCTGCAGCAGCCCCTTGTTTGTTTTCAGGGATTAGTGGCAATATTCCACACACTGCTGACATAATGAGGCATAAGCTTCACTCAGAGAAGGCAAGACACTGATTTTTGAGAGACCCTGGACTACTGTGCAACTAGGGATGGGCAGGGAAAGTCGGGAAGGCAGCAGACAACCTTCAGGGCTGAGTGGCAGTAAGAGCAGCTACCCATTGCTGATGGCCTCTTGCACAGCATGAAGTGTTTCCATGAACACTGTGTTCTGCTCAAAGCTGGATTCAAAGTGTCTGCATGGAATATCTCCCATGGCAGCATGTGCACGCTGTCAGTTTGTGTTAACCAGAGCAACATGACATCATGTGATAGACAAAAACACTGCTTGGTCCCATATAGCCTAATCCAAGACTTTTCACGTGAAACATTTGTTTTGTTTTGGTTTTAAGACATTTGCCTTTCTAACTGGTCTGTTTTAATTAGAGCTCAACCTGAACCACAAACGATAGATTTGAACTTTCCCAGAGTTCAGTGGTGTTCAGATCTGGCTTTTGGTTTGGCCCATCACAAAGACAGGGGTCAGCTCCAAAGTTCAGATCTGGGAACGGGCTGCTGCAAAGTGGGGGGCTGGAAAGATTATTTAATGAGACCCACAGCTTGCTTTAATGGGGGACTTGCAATAGAGACACTTGCTAGTTGTTTTTAAAATACTTCTATGTAGGCAGCATCTCAAAGTCTGATGTTAATGCCAATCCACCTATTGAAACACTCATGTATTTATACAGCAGAAAGGGACTTGTTCCTCCTTTCCTGGTCACAAAGCCTGGATCCTGGTCTGAAGCTGGAGTACCTTAAAAACCTATAATTTTTTCTTCTGATCTTTGTTTAAAACTCATCCTTCATTTCTAGGGCTTGAAAACAATGGAAGCTCTTTGTGGACTAGAAATTGGATCCTTTCATTCTTACAACATTTAGTTTTTTCAGCAGATAACTCTCAGGGCTGGCACCTGCCCTTTGTCAAACCCTTGCAGGTGTGGGTCAACATTTTAGGGTGAGCTTGCTCAGTACCTGGCAAGACACGAGCTTAACACAACACAGACAATAAACAACAACCACTAGTCTAGTGGATAAGATAACCTAGTAGGGTTAGCTGGACAGGCTCAGATTAAACATTAATTCAGTACCTGTCACGAGTCCTGAGAAGATTCAGATAACTCTTCCTTGTTTATGTAAATCTTGTCACTTCCCAACTCCTGTCAGGACCAGAAACTTCAGGGCTGAAAAAAAAAAAAAAGACTCTGCTCTTGTGATGCTTCCAGACTCATTTTGCAAACCAGAGAGGTTTGGACCAGAATCCAAACTTTGTGTATTTATCCAAAACCCTCTGAGCTCTTTACTCTTTTAAATCTCTTTCATATGTGTGATTTGTGCCATGTCTTGTTCTCTGAGGTTGCAAACGTGACTACCAGGCAAGGACCCCTTAAACACCAAGAAGCTCAGACACTTTACTTGACTCCTCCCAGAAGGATGGTCAGGGGCAAGTCAGATGTCTCAGGAAGGTGAAGGCAGCCACACAAGCAGTGTAAAAGGGCATTTGGAAAACAGCATCCAAAAGCAACTCTCCACCCAGCCCTTTCACCAGAACTTTCTCATTTGCTGTCCACAAACCCTGAGCTCTGAGAGGATGGCAGTGACTCACAGGGTCACTGCCCAGCTGTTTGCCCTGTGCTCAGATGTGATCTCTGAGCACAGTCAGCAGAGCAGAGCAAGGCACATACAGACAACCTGCCAACCCAGCCCCTGGGGCTGGTGAGGCATCCTCCTGCTGGCATGGGAGATGCCAAGGGAGCAGGAACATCCTGAAGAGCCACACGAGACTCTGTGACCCACCTGCCAACCGCTGCTTTGCCAGGGAGGCACCAGAGATCACGGGACAGCCCCCACGCCTGCAGGGTGGGCCACCAGTGCCAGGGCTCACTACAGACTGGCCTGGGGGATTCCCCACACTGTGCTGGGCCTGCCAGGCATGGGGAGGCATGGCAGGAACTTATGTGAGCCATAGATTTGTAGGACAACCTTAATGCAGAGCTATCGTCCAGGAGACAACCCAACAGCAATTCCCAGCAAATGCAGCGAGAACCTCTCTCTGCCACATTCCTGGGCAGAATTTTATAGAAAAATGCAACATTCTGGTACTCTATTGGACACAAATTATTTTTTCCCTTTTTTGTCAAACAGAAGAAATGGTCTTTTGTCTATGTCTATGCACTTTCTTAGAAGAAGGCCACCTTGAAGAGCAGAGTCACCAGACAAGAAAGCATAACAATTTCTGTGCCTGGGAAGTGCTGTCCTGGGCACACAGGAGCTGTTTCTCCATGACCAGTAGCCTGAAACAGTTTTAAAGAGGCCCCAGACTGGCTGTCACCATTCCTGAGTTCGGGCAGTGCATCCTCCACGTTCATTGCAATCACCACAAAGGGCTGTGCAGAGCAAGGTCCTTCACTCCTACATGGCCTTAGTTATTTGACATAATGCTCCTCTTGGATTGCTGTCACAGAGAAAGCTACAACACTCTGGAGGATTATGCCATTTTATGATATTTGTCTGGATCTAGATTGGAAATCTGACAAATAGTTTAAATAAGTATTTATTTATTAGGTCCTGCCTACACCAAATAGATGCCTAGTGTATGTGATTCAGTTTAATAAAAGACACTGCTGCTCTTCACAAAACTTATTGCAGAAATGTCATGACTAGGTAGAGTTAGTACTTTGTTTTATTTATGAGTTTACTTTAAGCTCATGTTAATTCTGTACTTGATAGAATCAAGTTAAATGAAAAACCCTAGAAAAACACACTAGAAGAAGTTATACTATGTTCACTAGAATGTCTTTTTTCTAATCAGTGAAACCAAAAAAAGTCATCTTCTGGCTTTTCATGTAAAGAAATCTTTTTTCCCCAGTCAGAACATTTTAAGGGTGGGCTCTCCTTTTCTAAAACCACCATATACCCTCAGCAATTACACTGAGATGGCTGCTGCCAGCAGAGCTGGAAAGGCTCACTGTGCAAGGGAAATCTGGCTTAGCTCTGATGGGATAAGTTTAGACTCTCTCCCTTTCTTTGCATTTTCTACTCCCAGTTTCGGGGCTTCCCCATGCAGCTTGATACCTTCTGGGAGTCTGGCTATTTTGGTGTCTAACTCAGTGCTTGGGGAGGCTGGATTCCCATGCTGGCCACAGGGAAAATACTGTCTGGAAGAACATCTAAAAGACAGGCTTTGGAGCCAACAGCCTGCTGCAGATTCAGCTCTAAGTGACCAGCTCTGGCCCTATAGATGTAATTAATTTTTGTATCCTATAAACATTGGTATCTAGTCTGAAAGCAATACCTCATACCTGCACAATGTCCTGGGTTAGGCTTGCTTTCTATGTGTTTCCAAGAGGAGTTTCTGGATTTATATATATATATATATATATATATAAAATAATTGTGTTGGAAGTGAGTCCAAGGAGAAAGTCTATGCTGACAAACAGAAGCAGCCAGCTTTCAAGATAAGCTTCAAGTTGCACATATCTTAATGGTTAGTCAAGAAATGTCATCAGCTCCAAATAGGGACAAGAAAACATTGAGCATCTCTCTGAAACAGAAGCAGATGCAACCTCAGCAATTCTTCTGGGCAGACCCCTCAGTTAGTTATTTTCCGAAATGCAAAGTAAAGGGAGGTGTGGATCCAGTGCCAGGCAGGTGTGGCACGTGAGGAGGTGTGGTGTGAATGTCAGGAGGGCACTCTGAGAGCCGTGGAACTCTCTGGCAGGCATGGGAATGCTGAGCCCTCCCTGCCTCCAGTCCAGTACTGTGCTAGAGCAGAGTGGGGAAGAGCAGAGCAGGGAATTCCCAGTCCCAGGAGCTGCTGTTTTCTCCTTGGGAGGACTCCTGTCCCACCATGGACATCCTGAACTGGTATTTCAGTTCATCTGGTGTTTCAGTTCTTGGTTGAGAAGTTTGCAGCCCAATTCCTCTGTGAACCCCCTGCCAGAAAGAATCCAACAAGAGGGCAGCTTGTTCTCTCACAGGTCCTTCTGCCCTATGGATAAGTGCCTTAACCTCCTCGTGCCCCTTTGCAAGAGAGGTCATAATACCTCTAAAGACAGGTAGTAGTATCTCTCTTCTCTTGCCCTCTCAAGCTGAAAGATGCAGCTTCTTAAGGCAAGGACAACCTCTTGCAGAAAGAGATTTGTGTCTAAGACCAGTTTCAGCTGGGTGTCACTCAGTGTTCCCAGAATTCAATAATTCTGGAAAAATGGCACTGGCCCACTGATAAGCTCTGCACAATATATTGAGGTAATAGTCATGATTTAACTAAACTGCCTCAGGAATCCCAAAGCAAGAGCTGAAATTTCATCTTCAACATACAGAGACATTTGCACACCCACCCACAGACACTCTGGCATGCCCAGGTACAGGAGCTTAGTGCTTCCAACTACTCATAATTCAGTGAAGCCTCTAAAAGGTGTTATTATTTAACATGTTTCTACAGCAAAGCACAGGTGTGCACAGACATGGCCACTGCCCTCAGGGATTCCTTACCTGGGTTAGGAGTGACATGAGATAATATAGCACAGGATGACCTCATGCAAATGGCAGTGCAGATTTATTTTTACAGAGGTGTTCTTCAACACAGTATATTTATGTCAGGCCACTGAGATGATTGAAACAAGTTAATTAAAATATTGGCCTAGCAAAGTTCCACTGGAAGGTCTGATTCTGCACAGTGATGGCTTCCTAATCTTCATGAGCACAGTAGAAGGGAAAGCAGAGTATTTGTGAAATGGGGTCCGTAGCAAAGTCAAACATAGGCACATAATCACAGGATAATTTAGATTGGTAGGATCCTCTGTTGACAGCCAAGGAGAACACCCATTCTGAACTGATTCACTCACTAAAGTCTCAAGCCTATAACCCCCCCATGTGAAAATCTCAGTGGTTTGGTAGCAATCTGCTCTGCTCTTGTATCCTACTGAAACGAAGTTGGCTTGAAAAGAAATTTACTTTGTCCTCCATTTCCTTGTCAGGTTCAGAGTGGAGGTTTCTTTTCTGCTGTATTTTGTTTGGTTGTTTTTTTGTTTGTGTGTTTTTTGTTGGTGTTTTCATTTGTTTGGGTTTTTTGCCTTGTTGGTGTTTTGTTTGTTTGTGGTTTTATTTTTTATGATGCAGCGAGCATATTTTCTACTTCTTAAATCAGAGTGGACAATGTTTCCCTTCCTGAGGGGAAGTACACAGGTACCTCAGAAACCTCAGCTGAATAACTGGAAGAATATAATAATATAATATTGTATTAGAGAATAGGATAAACTAGAACAGAATATAATACATAACACATCTGGTTCCTCCCAGCCCCATTTAATTCAAGGACACTGGTATATTTTAGGACACAGTTTTCCTGAGGTGCCTCCAGGATTCCATGCTGTCTGACCAGGGCTGCAAAGCACTCTTTACATGCCCAGTATACTGCAAGGTACCTCCAGCTGAGCTTTTGGCGATGACGACACATCCACCCACTGGTGCCCAGCGAGGAGGAAAGGCCCCGAACACCCAGCAGGGACTCCCTGAGTCCCACAGAGGGTCTGGAGAGAACACAAGCAGGAGACGCCGTCCCTGCTCCAGCCCTTGCTCCCCACCAGGCGCCTGGAGAGCGTGAGCAGGAGCTTTGTGGAAGCACAGCCGGCTGTGACACACGCAGGCCCCTCTCAAAGGTGCAGTGCAGCTGGAACCACCCCCTCGTGCTGCCCGGGCCATGCTCCTCTGCACTCTTTAAATGAGTGCTCAGCACCATGTTCTCATTAAACTTCGACAAAAACAAGCAGTGCCGCCTCATTTCCCCATTTTCCGTAAGAACGGGGTACAGACTGTTTGCTAGGGCTGACTTAGTAAGAAATATTTGCTCTGACAAATATTGTTTTACAGCGGAGAACCCAAAAATTTCATATTTCTCTGGGCACTTCTAACCATCCTTTCAAACTTACTAACCTCACAGAAGCTGTCCCAGAAAACTTCACCAAGGGACATGTTGCCAAAAGACAGTCAAAAACACAACAGAATTATGCTCACTGGAACAGAAATGCTGACTATTGTTTAAGGTTGCCAGGATTTAACTGAATATATTTAGGGGGTAAATTAAGGAAAAAAACACCGTAAATCATTGGGAGACTCATTACAAAAATCACTGTGGAAAGTAGCACCAAGCATTTAGAAAATAACCAGGAGATTCAAAAGATGT